GAACTTTTGCTGTTCTCTCCCTTCTTCACTGAACTGATTAATTAAGGACATTGGTTTTTTTTCCCCTATTAGTGAATAGCTGGACAACTCAGATTCATAAGGAACATATGATCTCTGATGACCAAACCTGGAACAACAAGAAGGAAACATTTAGTGATGATTTGATCTGAGCTGCATAAACACAACCACACACTACTGATGGACTCAGCAGTGTATTTATGTCAAACTGTTGAAGTCAGTTTTACAAACATCTACAGAAAGGTCACTGACAAAGGAATCATGACTGTTCAACTTTGACCTCTCCTCACAGTAGACAATAAAAACTTCAGCTGAGATCAAATTAACAATTTTCAATCTAATTCAGAGAGAAAATCTCCAGTAATATGATGATAATCTGACCAAACCGAGTATCAAAGATTTTCTAGATGAATTTATCTCCTGATCACAATCAAACCAGTCTATAGATTCTAGTTTGGTCTCTTTTACCTGAAAGAAAATTATCTGGTTTACATCTGACCTCCGAACATAGTAATAATCAATAAAATATTTTATTTTAGCTGTTTACATATTGGTCTATAGGTGAATGAAAATTCAAGTCAGCGAGACGTTATTCATATTTTATTGTCACATTGGCAGAAATGATGGCTTTCTGCTAGAACTGGTTAGTTCAGACAGGATTAATATTAATGAAATGTTTTCATGATAAAGTTTCAGGTCCTGTCTTTGTTTCCAGATACAGCTACTTTAGAGCATCCTCACTACCAAATACACTCGGTGACTAATTTTCTGCTACAGATAAAAGACAAACAACATTAAGCAGCTTTTATTCCTCCTGATCTTCAGAACCATGAAAAAAATCCCAGTTCCTTGTAGAACCAGAACTCATTCGTTCTGTTAGACCCTGAAGGATCAAGCTGGGAGTACTGAACCTTCCTACAAGAAGAACTGATCATTTATTTCAATAATAAGTAAATCAACACTTAAAGCTAATAAATCACTTTTATAATAAAATGTATTTTTATTTAGTTGTTTAAACATAAATGTGTATCAGTTTAACAAACTGATCATAAATCTATAAGGTGTGATGTTTATAGATTTCATATCTATGAGCATCATATATTTAATGTTTTATCTTCATGCCTGGTAAAAACCTGGTCTTTTGGGTTTTTGAGACTAAAAGCTTCAGGCTGAACATAAAGAAACTGAACCAGAACCAGAATGTTCTGGAATGAGAACAAAGTTTTCTCCGGAAATGGATCCATTTATAAAAGAACTGGAATAAAGTCTATGTGAATAAATTCTCAATGTGTGAATATAAATAACACTGAACAAATATTACAAATTTATATAGAAAAATCACCGTGATGATGCTGTTTATTAATATTAAAGACATGTAGTCAGAACTAAAAGGTTATTGAATAATTAAACCAGTAAAGTGAAATAAAATGTCTGTACCTGAGCTGTGAGATAAAAGGCAGACACTGCAGGAAACTCCTCACTTCACTCTCTCCATGTGAGCAATCTGTCAGCTCCACTGGTTTCTTCTCTGGTTGGAGTTTCATCACTTCCAGGAGGATGGAGGTCTTTCTCTCTGAGAGCTTTATGGTCCAGACTTTAGGAGCTGCTGACTGTAAAACTGACTGTAATGATGGAAGGAGACTCAGACCTGATTTAGTCTCTCTGTCCTTCATCTGGGAGTACAGATCCAACAGGAAGTCAGTCTGAGATTTATCATTATAACCTAAAAAAGTTTCATATCTACAGACTGATGCTAACATCTCCAGCATCTTCTCTCCTGTCTGCTGTTCTCTCTCTGCTGCTGCACAGAACAGATTCACTAAAAACCTGGTTTGTTCATGAAGATATGAGCTCCAAGAATAAAACCTGGAACAACAAGGAAACATTTAGTGATGATTTGATCTGAGCTGCATAGATACAACCACACACTACTGATGATCTCCATCTTGAACATGTCTGTCCTTCATGTGATGAAATTACATGTTAAACATGTTTGTTTATAATTATCTGATCTTCCAGACTGAACCATCTAAACTAAAAATCCGAAGTTGGCCATGTGAACACAACTAAATTTTAAAAACAGACCAATAATCAGATGCAGCATCAAAAAATCAAATGTCCAAACAGAAATGGGGAGAAAATTACGAACGAGAGGCGAGGGATTGTGACATAATTACTCTAAAACAGGCCATTTACAGGAATATACTAATATTTGAGCATGCTGGGACAGATTGGTAAAACATGGTAAAACAACTCCAACAGTCTAAATCAACATTCAGTCTGGTGTTGATTTAGAAATCAACATCAGACAGTTCCTCCCACAATTGTAACATATTTGTGACATCACATTAGGGAAGGAGCAACAGATAGGGTGGGGGCCACAGCAGGCCCGCAGCCTGGACCTACAGGGGGTAGGTCCGCCTGGACCTGTTGATTCTAAATCTACACCAGACTGAGTTACTGTTGGAGTTAATTTAGAAATCAACACTGGACTGGATTGCTTTTTAACTCTTTGGAACTCTTTACTGAGTATTAGGGAAACTAACACTCACTAAAACTCATGTTGTTGAATTAACACTGTATTTTTAACATACAACACTTACACTGGAAATCTAACACTTTTGAATTTGCTGTGTAAGACAGGAAAAGTCAATTTATCTTCATTTAAAACTCTCATGAATACCAATATTCCAAACATCTGCTTAAACTGCACTAAATACACCAGACTGAGCTACTGTTGGAGTTAATTTAGAAATTAACTAGTTATGCATAGAATTAAAGCACATTTTCTGAACGGTATCATTACATTACTTTAGGGGTCATATATCCCACTCCTAACACACAGAAATAATGTTTCTTACATGAGATTATGGATGTATGGCAGAGCCTGTAGCAGTGATTCACACAGACTCTGGTAGACCAGACCTCTTTGGGTCCAGTGGAGGCAGACATTGACCTTTGTAGCTGACCTCTGCATGGCTTTCACAGCTCTTTCGAACAGCTGCTTTTCAACTGGAAGATACAGCTTGTTTCCACAGAGACGCAGTAATGTCATATATTCTGTCTGTCCTCCACTGAGAAAGACAAAAATCCACAGCTGCTGAGCCAGAGGGTCAGACCTGTAATTTAAAGAAAACTAAGTAACTATGCAAGAAGGTAATATTGGCATTGTGTTACAAAACTGATCTAGAATAAATTTAATTTTCAATATATGACCTTGTATGAAATGTATGAAACAAAACATGTTGAGTCATACCATTGAACATTTTCAAGGCATCCAAACAGCTGTCTCATTCCTAGTTCAGACACCGTCACATCCTGAAGATTCAGTCTTATTTTCCTTCCCTTTGACTGAGTGACCACATAGGCCACAGCACAGCAGGAATAAGGGTCCAGATTCTCTCCACAGAGGTCAAGATGGAAGTTCAGTTTGCTCAGAAAGGAAATGCAGGCGTCAGAGCTCTGGGACTCATACAAACATTGGCAAAAGAACAGGATGTCAACATAATGTTCAGTGTCTTTATCTTTGGAGAACAATGTATCAATCATCTCTTTGAAGAACCATCCAGATGTTTCCTTGAGCTCCTCAGCTGGAATCAAACAGCTCATCAAACTGGGGTTTTCCTCATTCAACAGCTGACACATGAACGGGATCAGATGCTTCATGTGTTTCTTCTCCTCGGTGAGGCACTGCTGGAAAACCTCCCTGATCTTATCAGGATTTTTCAGAAGCCACAGAGCTGCAAAAAACTCCTGCAAAGTGTAATGAAGAAAAGCATATTTAACAACTGTTTTGGTGCAAGTGGTGCTGACATCAAGTGTTTTCAGGAAGGAAAGGACACAGCCATCTTCACAGGAAAGTTCTTCCAGGTTTACAGTTTTTCTTTCAGTTGCATTAAAAGCAGCTTCAGCCAGAGACAGGATTCCATTTCTCTTCGTTTTGATGAACTGATTGAGATTCCTGATCCTGGTTTTGTTGCTGTTCATCTGGAGACCAAATCGAACAATATTGATGTATATTTCAGTGACAGTTCTGGGCTGCAGAGAGTCTTCAGATGAAAAGCTGGCAGCCACCATCAGTGCATACATTGGAACATGACAAAGAGTCAACAGCTCCACGTTACTCAGAACCTTCCTGTGATTTTCACCCAGAGCTGAAGACAAATATGTCATTATTGTTTCCTCACTGAATCCTTTCACCTCCACTCTGAGCCAGTCTTCAGGACAGAGGTCTTCCTCATCTTCTGGTCTGCAGGTAATGATGATTTTAGCATCAGGCAAGAGATCTTTGTCTACAAGTTTCTTCACAACTAATAGAGAGAGACCAGTGACTCCATCTAAAATGATAGTAACATTATCAGAGTTGCTCTTTATGTCCTGTAAGACTTCATCTTTGCGCTCATCTGGTTCACTGCATGCAGTGAAAAGTAGATCCTCCAAACTCATTGTTGGTGGGATGTTGGTTAATTCCCTCATATCAAAGTAAAACATGTAATCCAGCTCCTTGTTGTCTCTTTCTGACCACAGTCTCAATATTTCATGACTCAGAGCCGTCTTTCCAATACCAGGTTTTCCAACCAGGAGGATGCTTTTATCTGTTTTCAGCAGGTCAGTGGGGGAGATTTCTGGGTTGTTCTCTGGAATATAAGTCCTTAACTTTTTAGGACGGGACATCTTGCTCTTCTTCTTTTTAAATGACTTTACTTTGGACTGAGACATGGTCCCTTCCGTATTTAACACAAGTGAATTAAATAACACCTCAGGATTCTTTTTTTCTTCAAAAAGATTTTTAGTTCCCCTCCAAAATTCTTTTGAAAGTTCTTGTGCTTTTGACTTCAACTTTGCTTGATATCTGTAGCATGGCCTTGATCCTGAGAGTAACACACCAATAGACAATCGTTTTACTTATATTGCACTCACAACATGTTTTACATCAAGCAGCAAAAACTACAAATGTCTACATCTAGTTAACAAAACATTTCATGTCTTTTAAATATTTTAAAGGTTTGATACCCTGTATGAAGTTTACATCCATTTCTGTGTCTTCTTTGAAAGGAAAACAGCTGATCCAATGGTGCAGGTCAAACTTTTCAGCCTCAGTTGAAGCTCTCTCTAAGGTTCTCCTCCTTGTCTTGTAAATAATCCTTAGTAACTTATAACAGGCGTCTTCACCTTTTCTAGTGACTGAGTCCAGTATCGCTCTGGTTCTATCATAGTCATCTTTCTCTCCTTTTATCTTGCTGACCTCTTCATCAATGAGAACTCCTTGCTGATGTAAAATCTCAAGAATCACTGACAGATTCCTCAATTCTCCAATCAGATGAACTCTGGCATTCTTGACATATTCCAAGGCAGACTGTAATGTGGACGCCATGACTCCTGATCTTGTTAGATCTGCAAACAAACCCAACTTCACTGATCTGAAAAATAGGACACCAAGTTAATGTGCAAATTATAAATTGTCTACAGGATAACTGTCAAATGTAAGGCTCAGAGGTCAATGCCAGCACACCATAACTTTTTTTAGCCCTTTGGCACTACATAGCTGGACCTGGGCCAACCTGGGCCAACCTGACTTCAAAACAAGGCTGAAGGTTTTTGCATTGACACTTCCAGCCCGGTTCCACCCCGCTCACTGGAAACCTGAGAGCAGTGGTTCCAATTGGGCTGACCAGACAGGGCTGGTTGGAATTAGCTGTTGATGGGTTAAGTTGCTGAGGGGGCTGACAAGTTGTCTTCCAGATCTCTGTCAAAGGAGCGCTAGACTTTCATTTTAACATCTGGAGTCAAATAATTCCTGTCAATCTATTCTTACCCATAAAATTTTAAATAATGACAATTACATATTCAATTGAATTTTATTTTCTTTCGGTTAAAATAATGTTCAACAAGCTGATCAGAGGATCCTCATTGTGTCATCAGATCAAAAAGATAAATATATGTAACTTTTTCTCGCAGTGAAAAAAAACTACAATAACTGTGGTTCCACAAACTAATGCCCCTTTACCACTAGTTCTACTTCAGCAGCCCCACTCTACTTGACCTGTCTCCGCTCTACTACGAAATAATCACGTTTCCACAGACCCGGCTTGGCCTGTAGGGGGGTGGCGCCTTCTGGTGGTGGGTGGTATATTGCTCTTCCTCCAGGTGCTGTGTGTCCTTACTGTTTGACCGAACGTGAGGCATTATACCTCCAACACAAAAAAAGGACAGCTGAACTATTTTTTTTTTTTTTTACAGCCTGATTATGATTTTTCTGAGATTTCAAGAAAAGGCGCAGGGTGAGGAATGCTGCTGCTGTGGCAAGGACAGCTGATCTCTGCTTTGCAGCTAGAGGAAAGCAGGTGGATCAGACGTTGCAGGAAAAAAAAAAAAAGCCCAAAGGCCACTTGTAGTCGGACTTGGTGACAGAAACTCAAACTAGTTCCTGTTTTTCCAGCAACTAAATGCCATCTCCTTCCTCCCTCCATTGTTTACATTTCCATCGCGGCGTGCAATCAGCTGTTGCTGTCATATAGAAACGGCAGTCACTCCCCTAGACACCTGCAAGAAATTAAAATAATTACAAAAGAAAATAGTAACTCACAGTAATGCAAAGTGATTTGGATAAGTAACTTTAATCTGATTACTGGATTTGAAATAGTAATGCTTTAGATTACTCATTACTGAAAAAAGTGGTCCGACATCACTGGTAATCTACAACGTCAAGTGTCAATGAAATAAACATATAATATAATAATGTAATTACAGTGCTATTTTCACTTTGTCTAAAGCTCTTCGCATTTTTGAGAGGATTATATTAGAGCCTTGATGCCTTGCAAACTACAGTGTGTACAATAATGTGTGGAGTGAGTATAAAAAAAGAGAATTTGTTCATTGAGAGCACAACAGCATTTATTTTTCATCTTTTGTTTGCCTCAACTGCGATAGATTGGCGACCTACCCAGGGCGACCCCACCTCTCACCTGCTGAGAGCTGGAGATAGGCACCAGCACCCCTTGTAAGGGGTAATTACTTGTAAGTTTTAAACCTACGCAGACATACAGCCATGGATAAAATACCTCTGTCGTTTTGAAGTTTATTGCTCATTTTTATGTCCTGTACAATAAATGGTTCATAACTGTTTAGTTAGCGAACTGATAGAGCCATTTTAGAAGAATAAATACCATATAATATAAATATTTTTTTAACATCTCAACAGGAAAAATTCTGGTGTAACAACAGCAAAATGACAAACAACCAAAGCATGCAGATTCACGCAAAGATAAAACATAAAAAACAGATTAAGAGTAACATACTGTAAAATGTAGAGAAAGTTGCAGCATAAAAAACTGGAGTAATTATAAACAGCTCACTCCGACTCTAAGGAATGTGTAACTGAGTAGGATTACTCCAGAAAATGTGCATGTTTTGTTTGAGTAATAATAGGGCTCCTACAACTTAAGGAAAGTTAAATTTAAGACTTTTTAAGAGTTTTTAAAATACCGCCTGAAATTAAATTTAAGACCAACTTTACAATACACACAAATAGAAATGAAACAAGCGACAATTTTACCCAAAAGTTTCACAAGAAACATAACTTATGGAGTCACTTGACGTCGACATAATGGCTGCCTAGGAGAGTCCCGCACCACCCCTCATAATGTATTTTGCATATAAATCACACAGGGATCCGAGGAATCAGCATCAA